ATTTGCCCCGTAGACACGAGAAAGGGATGTAACGGTGAAACACCGCGACTACAACCCACCCTTCTGCTTAGAAAACGTTTTTTGGGCTGGGGGGAGGGAGTTTCTTACCTCTTTTGCGGTGCTGGGCCTTCTTTTACATTTAATTGTTCACTACAGCAATTTTTAACTTATTTTCGTCAAAGAAGACCCTCTAGCGCCTAAACGGTTAGAGATAGAGCCAAACGGACGAAATTTTCGGGCAAAGGACTCTACTTTTGTAAGTTACCCCTTTGGAGACCATCTAATATTTTCTAAAATTAATTTGTTTATTTTGGGGCTACTTTCGTGAACTCCCTCTAGCGCCCAAACGGTAAAAGATAGAGCGAAACCGACGAAATTTTCGCCCATGGGGCTCTACTTTGACGAGTTTCCCCTTAGGAGCTCAAAAAAGAATATTTTTCTCTGACTTTTTTGACCTACCCCCTTTTCTTTGATACCCCCTTTCAGCCCCTTAGGGTGGGTTGCCAGGATTTGCCGTAGGCGTTTCGTTTTCTAGGAGTGAACCTTAAGATACCCTGAAAATTTGAAGTCTCTACCACATCTCCGTCTAGTGGAACAGACAGACAGACAGACACACAGACACACACGAGGTCGTTTGCATAAGCCCGCTGGATAGCTTTTTCAAAGCAGAAGGGCGGGCTAAAAAGACCTAAAAATCGCAAAACAGGAAAGAAACTCTCCCCCCACCCCCAAAAAACGTTTTCTAAGCAGAAGGGTGGATTGTAGTCGCGGTGCTTCACCGTTACATCCCTTCCCCGTGTTACGGGTTTAAGCGGGCCGAAGGCCCGCGACATCATTCGATCATGTTCTTCAGCAAATCCCGTGACAGAAATGGTCGGGCCGCAGGCCCGACCATCGCCGCCGGCAGGCCAAGCAGGCCCGGCCCCCGCCGAACGGAGTTGCCGGCGGAGCGAAGCGGAGCTGGCAACTTCGTTTGGCGGAAGGGCGGGCCTGCTTGTTTAAGGGGTTTTCACTGAAATGTCGTAAAAATGTCCGTTGTCGGAACCAGGACGCTCTAGGAAGCGATCGGGCATGTCCCGGGACGTAAAATGATCTCAGGAATCCGATTCTGGCCTCAGAATGGGCGTTTCCAAACTCCTTATACCCCAAACCCAACATTTCGTTCTAAAATCATGCGTTTTGGCGAGCTTAGACGGGGTACTTCCCCATAATTTTTTTACTTTATCAGGGCTTGAATTTAAAGTTAGTTACTCTATCTTCACTGAAAACAGCGTTATAACGCATGTTTTCACTAGATGATAACGCGGTGCACATTTAAGTTTTTGTGGAATATTTTCTAAACGAGCCCGAGATTTATTTTTCGATAGTACCATCGGATTTCCCGCGAAATCTCCGATCAAACAAGCGTACATGTGATAGGGTTCGGAGTTCAAATAACAATACGGAACAAGACGTGTTCTTAGAGAATCATTGCTCAGAACCCTATCACGTGTAGGCTCGTTTGATCGGAAATTTTACGGGAAATTCAATGGTGCTTTCGAAAATTAAAATTTCAGCGCCCGCTCAGAAAATATTCCATAACCGTAACCGTCCAACTGTTATATCTCCGAGACGGGTGCAGCTACAACCCTCAAAAAAATTGCGAATTGTAAAGGCAGAAGTCGACTATCATTACCTCCAGTCGTAGCGGTTCTGCCTCTCGCGGGTTGCGGCACAGCGAGGAAAAACGGAAATCTGATCCGAAATTGGTTCAGTCGCTCTACATTTTTATCATAAACTAGTAAATATTTTTAATTTAATCTTTTTATCGATGAAAAACAAGTTAAACCACCAGTATTGAGACCCAAAAACCGCAACCTTCTTCCCCAAATGGTTTCGTGATCACGTTTTCACTTTACAGTGGCCTTAAAAGATTATTGTCCTTCGGCAGAGAATAGTATACTTTTGTTTTCGGACTTCCGTTTCCGTTTCTTTTAGGTAGTCTTGGACGGCTGCAGAGTGGTCTGACAGACGTGGCACTAGCCGCATACGCCCTGACACCAAATCGAGTACGTCTCTTACAGCCCTCAGCGCCTTTCCTCGATGTGACTTCCCGAGTGCATGTTCGAGTCCAATGTTCCGACACTAGTGACCAGGTCCTATCTGTCAGTGTCAGGTAAAGTAACTAGAATTTTAAAATAAAATAAAGCGTTTTATTTGATCTGAAATCCTATGCCCACTGTGAAAAATACCGTCGTTAATTTACAAACAAATTATAAACTCAAATTATAATTTAAGTTGTAAATTTATGGGAGCACATTTTTTACACTCCAACTCTTTAACTTTTGTTTTATGACATTTTTTGTGGAACTGCTTTTTATAACCGCTGCTCTAAAGCCCTAGTGATTCACATTTCTCCTCCTAAACGTGGCGGTAGCGCCTAAACAGCTTCAGATAGAGCAAAACGGACAAAATTTTCGTGTACAGAATCGCAACTGCACGAGTTACCATTTAGGAAGCGTTCTTGAAAATTATTAAAAATTGTTGTAATGACAGCTTTTGGAACGAATGCCCAAAACCCCTAAATATTAATTTGAGCAAAAATGTTTGATGTTTCCTTCGTTGACACAGTTAGACCACCAATATCCCAAAGTAGAATGAAAATCGGGAATTTAAACTTGGCGGGGTTCCCTTGTGAGAGTAACCTCATAATTAACCCAATAATTATGTTTGATGTTGTGCGATGTTTTGCCTTTATGTGGGATGTGCGATGATTTGCGTTTTTGTGCGATGATGTGCAATGATGTGGAAGTGTGGAAAGCATTGGAGTTTAGTTTTAACATCTTTAGATGGGTCCTGCCCCGAGGAGTGGCAACTGGCAACTTTGGCAAACATTTGTTGTAGGCCACAGAAAAGTACCCCGAAAAGCGTCGAAAGAAACCACAGTGGGGCCAGGCAAACAATCCATGCGATCCAACGAAGCTTTGGAACGAAAATGCACGGTTTTTTACGAGGGGGCAATAACTCCCATTTTAAGTGTACACATGATTCCCGAAAGAACTGATTCCCGTTGATTCCCGTGATTCCTGGTGATTCCCGTTGATTCCCGTGATTCCTGGTGATTCCCGTTGATTCCCGTGATTCCCGTTGATTCCTCGGATTCCCGTTGATTCCCAGTGATTCCCGGCGATTCCTGGTGATTCCCGGCGATTCCCTGTGTTTTTCGCTGATTCCCCTTGATTCCCGATGATTCCCGGTGATTCCCATCGATTCCCTTGATTCTCGTTTCTTCTAAAAAATCAAATTTTTCATTTCCCCTTGCTGTAAAAATCGGGTGAGCGCGGAACGAGTGTGCAACGAGTGCGCGACTGGTGCGCTGGGGGTGCGTGCCGAGTGGTGGAGGCGGGAGAGACCCGCGCGAGTGACGTTTTTGAGACACTTGTCAGTTTGAGGGCTAATAACTTTTCCATTTCGACTCTGAGCATAAGACATTTTCTATTCGATTTGTAAAGAGGAATCCAAATGTGGTACTGAAAGTTGAATTTTGTAACTTCTGAAAAAAACAAAGTTTTCAAATTTTAAATAGAATAGTGTTTACTTGTGCATATGCGTGGAAGTCACCTAATCTCTCAATAGGACATGTCAAAACGTTTATTAGACACACTACTTAATTTCACTATAGCCATGGACTTGCAAAGGACCGAACAATATTAGAGACAATATCGCAAACTCAGGTGGGATAGACCCATCGAAATCAGATCATGATATATACAACCGCTAGCTATGTCTCCAGTCGTATTATGCTGAGTGATACTTAAATAAAATGGTGAAAGCTTTAAAATTACATTTGATGGTATAATATATTACAGAAATTTTAATTAACACATTTCAGTGACAGTGATCTTAAAGACCAAAAAGATAGATTTGATAAAAATGAATAAAAGAGTGCCAATTTACCTATAAATACCCAAATAGTTTATTAGGTGCATTTAAGCTTCATTCTATGACAAAAGATTCCACAAAATTTCCAGTTAATTATTTCCTGGGACTCGTAATACTTATAAAGAATTGGATTTGTTTGATCAAATAAACTGAGCAATTGTCAGTCAAACAAATCAAATTCTGTGTAAGTGTTATGAGTCCAAGGAGTTAGAAAGTTTGGAGAATCTCTTGTCATAGAATGAAGTTTAAATGCATTCAATAAATTATTTGGGTGTAAATAATTAAATAATAAGAACTGCAGCTTGACCTAGTTGAAAATATAAAATTATGCTTTATTTTAGCGGATTTGAGAAAAGTATATATATCATGATCTGATTATTTCGATGGGCCTATCCTACCTGAGTTTGCGATATTGGCTCTAATATTGTTCAGGCCTATCCTACAGGGCCCC